GGCCGGTGGCAGATCTGTGTGTGTGTGTGTGTGTGTGTGTGTGTTTGTTTGTGTATGTAATGTGTGTGTAATGTGCGTGTAATGTGTATACAGAGTGTGTGTGTGAGTATTTGTGTGTTTAGTGTGTGCTGACGTGTGTGTGTGCGTGTGTTGTGTGTGTGTTATGGGTGTGCTGGTGGTGAGGTGGCATAATGAAGTGGATGGTGGTGTGTAATGGTAATGACCAAATTACCCTAAGATATAATTTTGACTTTTTTTTTAGCCATTAGATCATTCGATCTAATGGTTACGATTCATTCTCATTTATTTCACTAAGCACTATTCTCATGTGAACCCAACCCTATATATATATATATATGTGTGTGTGTGTGTGTATATATATATATTTATAAGAAACCATTATAGTTATTATTTTAAGATAAATCTTACATAAAAGTGGCAATAGTTATTCTTGGTATTTAATATAGTTTTGGAAGGAAGTTTTTTTCCTCCAAGCTCCTTCTCTTTAATATATACTAGTATGTCACTTGTGCGTTGCGCGCGGCCTGGTGTTAGAAATTATATGGATGATTTATAATTTAATAAAAATTTACTTAAACAAACATGTATAGAGATAATAAATGGTAGAATAAAATTTTAATTATTACATTTAAAAATACTTCAATAAATATAACAATGAAAATAGATGAACTATCTTCTTTATCACCATCACCATCACTAATAATAATCATTAGACAATATATATTTGTAACTCTAGAAACAATACCAACATATGAATGTATATGAATTTAAAATTTAATATATCTTTTTTCTTAAAAAATTTAAATTTAAATTCATTAAGCCTAACAAAAATATTTGTGATATACAATGGAAAAAAATTAGGTGTGACAGTAATGCATTCCTTCTCAAATTTTTTTCACAAAAATGTCTATGTGACAACATAATTTTTATTATTTCCAAAAACATACAGTCATTATTACTATTCTACAAATAAAGTAACATAGGAATAGTTATGGTTGAATGTAGAAAGAAGAGCTAATTAAGAAGAATATGACCCAATTTCTATCTGCATGTATTTAATTTTAAATTAGGTCCACATATTTTTTATTTTTTATTAGCAAAATAAATCTCCACATTTTGTTTTTGTGAAATAAGTGTGATGGTTATTAGAAAATGATGTGAAATAGGGATCATTTTTTGTAGAATTACAAATATGCTCACTTATCATTAATTTTGAAGACAATAGTAAAATACTCTCTTTTTCATAAAATCCATGAATATTATAATTTAATATAATTTTTTTAGAAATATAAATTGACATAATTTTTGTAAAGTGGTGAAAAAAAAATTAAGTATATAAATTCTAAAAGAATAAAAAACATTTTGATAAAACTTACATTTGTGATATAAAACTTACATTTGTTTCTTTTGCACTTTTGTACCCTTCTATATTATCTCTATCGTTTCGAAAAAAAAAAAAATAAAGAAAAGGAAGTTGATGCAGTATAATTAGTTGTGTTGATTTTATCTAATGCAACAATTCAGTGGTGATAATATATTCTCATGATTCTCTTAAGGAAAAAAAAAAACATTTGTTATATTAACAAAAATGTAACAATAATTAAGCATTATGCTATTTTATTCATAAAAGTTTTAGCTACATAATTGCGTATTTATTAAAAAAATGAGGGCAATCACTTTAGTTACCAATTTTTTGATAACTTCAAATTTAGATCTGAGTGAAACAAATGATACAAGAATAGTTAGGATTTCCAGAAGAAGATGCCATTCGTTTGATGAGAAATAAAAGGGAATATCGAAAATTCGAGTAGCTGTTCAATTCCTTCGTAGGATACCTATAAAAAAAGAAGTTTTCGCAACTCACGGGTGAGCGAAGCAGCGAAGGTTATCCGGAGCAGTGTCAACGTCAAAAGCGGCCTCGGGGCGCAGTCTTAAAGTTTTAGTTGTTTGAGGCGCAAGCAGAGAGGAAAGCTATAGGAGAAAGACTATGTTTGGACTGGGCACGTACCGAACGAAGATGGTGTTTATTTACACTTAAACAATCCATATAGGTGGAAAGCTGGAAGCTTCAATAGTTCCCCGCTGAACCTTAGAGTTCTATGATGGGGTATTTAAGTAAGTCCCTACTAAAGTGGCGCCTAAGCCGCCACGGATAGGGAATCAAGGTTGAAATCCTTCGAAGAGAGCCCATTTAATCACTCTTATCATTGGCTCGATGTAATTGACCTCACGGGGCCGCTCGGACGAAGAAAAGGAAAATTGAGTCTAGAATTAGAGCTCGGGCGGGGCATCAACCACAGCACAGGTTGCGGGACCTATCGAGATGCTTCCTTGCAGAACCCAACAAGGGCTGTAACTCAATAGAGTGAGTGAGAAACCTTGTAAACTCGAACAAGAGAATAGAGAAGGTCTGTCTTGTCTTAGACTAGCTCTACTCATCCATCTTGGGTACCTTGAGCTTATGAATAAGCTTGGGGGCTACTTTGAATTTTCTACTTACTATTAGGGCTTCCTGCACTAATTCCTACACTTAATTGGGTCTCATAGCCCCTTCACTTCGCAGCCTGATTAATGCGCTTTTAAAACGCACTTCTATGGCCCTTAATAATTTTCCAATTTTGACCTACTTATTAATATTATGACAATTAATCCTACTACTTCTGGTTCTACGGTTTCCACGCTTGAAAAAAAAAAAAGTCGGGGCGTATTGTCCAAATCATTGGTCTGGTACTAGACGTAGCCTTTCCGCCGGGCAAGATGCCTAATATTTATCACGCTCTGGTAGTTAAAGCCCGAGATACTAACAAATTAACCATACATTATTGGCTTAAATTGTTAATAAATTAGGACCATTTGTCTTCGCATTCAAAACTATACTGTTACTTTTTATCCGTCCCATTGTTCCGATAAAGATGGTATATTCTCGTCATTCTTAAATGAGTAGGTAAAACAATAATTGTGAAATTCAAAGGGTCAAGAGTCACATCTCACATTGGACTCTTAAATGAGCTTAACTCTCTTTATTATAATAAAGAGAGTTTGAGAGGTCACAACAACAACAAGGCAATACACCATGTGTTGGTGATGGCTTCAGCCACACGCGCGTGCGCCCTCGCGTCAGTCTATTGTTTCGGCTCGGGCACGGGCCTGGGACTTGGTCCTTGGTCCTTGAAAATTAGACTGTGGGCTAGACTTGGACGATCCAAGCCGTCTTTATGCTGCAAATTTATTTGCAATTGTTGCCAAAATTGAAATCCAAACCGTGTTGGATTTAGACACAAGTTTTGACCCAACCAATGTGACCTTTACTAGGTTCATTGAACCTGGATGTGTGACCTTCCACTGACTGTTTAGGTGGTTATCATGTGTATTGATGGTGTGTTAATACCTGAAAACGGCAGGCTTAACACCTGACCGTTCTTTGTCCACTTACAACAACCATTAGTGGGTTGTTACATGGAACATGCCTTAAGTGACTGAAGTCCATAGATCATCCCCTACCTCGCTGTAAGTCCTATAAAAGGACATAACATATAGCTGCAGAGAACACTTAGATCATCATTTGCATTCTTACATACTCTCATAGCCTCAAGCATATACATATTGCTCAATTTTCTCCTCCGTTCAAGTTTGTCGGAGCTCAAAAGTCTGTTATGCTACAACTTTCGAGACGTCACCCGTTGTATCTTTGGGGACGAGACGCATGAACCCGTCAGCCCATTACGGGGCGTATTCGTCTTGCGGAAAGAGCAACACTCACCTTGGTTTTGTCTTTTCGCTTTCAAATTGTTTTGTTTTCTGTTTTCTAGTTCAAACTGTAAGAACTGAAACATACATTGTTCGGTTCATAAGTTCGTTATAATGGACCCTAAAATTGAAACTAAAATGACAAAATGTGGTAAAAATTAAGATGAAACTTGCCCTTAATATGATGTTTCTTTTACCACTAACAATTTGCACTGAGCAACTGCAGGAATTGGTCTTTCAGTCTTACACTATAGAGTTGTTGCATACTTATGTCTTCCCTTTTCATTTATTATTATTACTTTATTGTGTTTTGGGTCTTTTAATGTCTGATGGACAACAACAACAGTATACCTAGAAGACATTTACTAGGGCAAAGACAATTAGGTTCGGAACTTTCATTCCATGATGTTGTTGACATAAAAATGAAACACACAACAAATGCCCAGCCTGTAAATTATATTACATTTGTCCAACCCAACTGACCCCCGGGAAACTAAATAAATATAAATAAGGGAAACAAATTTCTTCTTTTTGCTTCAATAAATTTTATTTAGCTAGCAATTAATAATACAAAAATGCTCCTTCTCCCATTTATTTCCACCGCTTTATTATACTCCCTGACTTGTTCTATCCAGGTAAGCAATGTAAATTAACTCTTTAATTGTACAATCAATATCATCTCTCCTCTTAATTTATTTTTTCCAAATTTTCTAGCCCTAAGGAAACCGCTACAGACCCTTCAATTTCGTCGGCGGACGGCTGCGGAGGAAGAGAAGAAGAATTTGCAGGGGAATCAGCGGACAGGAAGGGTCGGGCGAGAGAGAGGAATGCGAGGAGGAAGAAGGTGAGAGAGAGTTAGGGAGATTGACGCCATTGATGTGTGGGGAGCTTTTTCTGAGTTGAAATTAGGTATTTGCAAGGGGCGTCTATATCAAAGTTGATATAATGTGTTGGGAGCTTTTGTCCGTTTTTCGGCTACCGAATTTCCTGTTTTCTCCGTTTATAGCCATTGTTTTTCCTTTGTTTTTTTTTTGTCTGTTTTTCGGCTACCGAATTTCCCATTTTCTCCGTTTCCTCGTTTTTCTGTAATCAAAATTCTAAAGATGGGGAAGCTGTGTATACCAAATTCTAAAATTGTAATCAAAATTTATAATATTGTAATCAAAAATAATTTGTGTATACCAAATTCTAAAGTTGTAATCAAAATAATATAATACTGTAATTAAAAAGAGATGTGGAAGTTGTGGACCATAAACATACCTGATAGCAATGAAAGTTGTAGAACGGAAGCAGATTACTGGGTTACATATGTAGATAGTGAAAATCAGGGGTTACGGCGGTATGTTACAGAGTTAATTTTTTATTAACTGAACTTAAAAAAAACTTAAAAAGTCTGTTTTCCCTGACTGAATAATAAAGAAAAAGTTGATGATGTGTATTGACACGTCAGGGAGTTATATAAATGCGGTGGAAGTTGGAGGGGTATGTAGCGGTATTGTTATGTAATTCGTCTATTTTCAAAATAAATAACATTGAAAGGGAATGTCAGAGTCTGATCAAAATATTTTTGAATGTACAAATAAAGTTGTCATTTTCGTAGGAATATTTATAATCTTATTGGTGTATTGTACTCGAACGTATGTTCAATTACTTTAGAGTACGTACTTAATGTAATGTGTGATGATTTTAAAAAATAATTTAGTGTCTCGGAAAAATACATGTAACTAAGATTTTGAAAAGTCAACTTTTATTTGGAGATGAAATTCGTTCCTCCATGGGGTAGATACTAAATTTGTCTATATGATGAGTAATATAATAGTTTATACAATGATTAAAAATATAAAAATTATTAACAATTTTAATGACACAATTTGTTTTTTCACATAGATATTCATGAACTGTTAGTAGAAATATCTTATAAAGATCATACAATCATGAACTATGACTATATATTTTGCCAAGATATTTTAAATGTTTGGATAAAGTTGATGTTTGTCAAACGAGTTAAGAAGAATTATGCAATACTATTTATGTATTGGGTTCCGACGGTGATTTATGTATTGCGTTCCAACAGGTATGAATGTTTCTTATGAGAAAGTCAAAACCAAAATGAAAGAAAAAAATCTCTTGAGTCATCTAACATAAATAAATAAAAGAACTTAATCAATAATACACATTAGGTCTTTAGTTTGTTATTTAGTGTTTTTCGTTTTTTAATTGGAGACTCATTTTTTTAATATTTGGTTTTTAGGATTATAATATGTTATTTCATTCTTTAAACATTATTATATTGTTTTTAAAAAAGAAAATACATTCATTTGTTCACATTTTATTTTGTTTGTACATTAATATATTTAATAAATTAATTAATTTATGTAACTACATTTAATCGGCCAAAAACATTCTCCACCACGTGCACTTTAATTACTAATTTATATAAATAACTTAGAGAAATGCTATAGATACATAATATTGTACATACGGGTGTACATAATACTCACATTGAGTGGGACATACTAAAAATAAAAAATCAAGTGGACCTCACTCCATGTGAGTGTTATGTACACCTCTATGTACATTTATTATGTACTTGTAGCATTTTCCAATAACTTAATACCAGCAGTTAACAATGCAGGTTCGTCTCCAATGTCTTTTTACATTCTAACTGGCAAACCATAGTTATGGAATGTTGCGATTGTGCCGTCCTGATTGGCCGTCACAAAAACCAGACCCCACAAACCATCCCTCCCTTTCGCACACAAATCCCAAAGAGGCGGCAGCCTTTCCTCGGGCCAAGTCGTGCAGGCCCGATACCGGCCGTTGGTCGAGAAGCAGCTCGAGAGTGAGAAATGTTTGGAATATTTATAACCCCACAATGTTCCCATTTCTCTGTGGGGCCCACACATAGTAGAACTGGACTCGGGACGCGTCCAGGGTAACACAAGCGACACACCCCCACGCTTGAAAAAAGTCTCACACGAGCGCTTGGATTTTTTGGGCTGTTTGGATGTGCTGATGGCCCACAGATACACGCGCGAATCCTCCCCAGCCGACACTATATGCCTCCCGCTTGAAGTCAAGGAGGCTGACAGCTGGCAGCCTGACTTGGGGAGACCTGTTTGTTGATTAGAGGAAGCCATTTATATATATATATATATATATATATATTAGAAGGTGGAAAACTGAATGCTGTTGGTCTTGAATCTGGATTTCATATTATTCTCATACCTTTGTACTTGCACACAACCTTGAGTCCATCAACTATGCGAATCTTGGAGCCCTCGGATTCAATCATCACTCTTTGGGACCCATTTTTCAAAAACTGAGTAAAAAGAAAAACTATGTGAACATACAAGTTGGGTGAGAAATGAAATATTTTAGAAAGGAAAAAAATGCAGGAGTTAGGAAACTGAGAGTAATACCTGAATGCCTGTGATTCTGTTACCAGATGATTTCCTTTTTTCTTGGACATTTATCTCTGTTTTTAGCACGAGCTCATCGCCTGTGTAAAGAAAGAAATCCTCACTAAGTTTCTACGATTATGCACATAACTTTTTCTTTCAAGCAAAGCCTTTTGTGACAATGGTGTGTACCTGATATATCATAGAACCGGCAACTGCCAGAAACAGAACCAACAACAAATCCCTATACCAACATAAACAAATAAGAAAAATGTGAGATGTGTCAATGAATCAGACATTTAAGTTTAATAATAAAAAAAT